TTTGCGAGAATTCACGTTTGCACAAGGCAAATGAATCTCCATCTAGCCACGAATGTATTACAGCATTCACTTTCAGAGCTGCCTCGCTGCGGTTTTATAACTTTTACCACACAAACGAAAAAAAAAATAATAAAAGGTAAACTACAAATGAAAACGAAAATATATGTCAAGTTCAAGCGGCGCAGATTTTTTTATTGCTCGACTCTCGAGTGCTAAGAGTCAAATAAATAAAAAGTATTTATTTATTTGTTTAATTTTATTTTTTGGCTAGCAGACCTGCTAATTTCTACAGATATATATTTTTTGCTATTGCGCAGGAAATCTCATTAAAATCACACTTTGCGATCAGTTTGCCAATGGGCTGCCGAAGGCTGTTGTCGTATTGAAAAAAAAAAATTAATAAATAAATATAGAAGATTTAGTTAATTGAACCGACAAATAACTGAGGTAAATACAATTAAAATATTTTTAAAGCTTATAAGCTTACGTATTATTATATAAGAAAAAAAAGTAAAAAAAAAAACATTCATTAAAATGTACTTTTACAAAGGCATTTCCATAGATTATATATGTATAGAAATAATGTACTTTATTTACTTCTTATGCCACAGAAATGTTATTCTCCCATATTCAGGAACCTTATATTCCCCTCTCAACATTTCCTGTTATGAATTCCGCAATTGCAAAAATCCGTCAAATATGACATGAACAAATATTAGTTTATTTGTCACTCAACTGATTAATAATTTATTTTCAATTTGCAGTTCCAAATGTCGCTTGGTGAAAAACGAAAGACTTTGGCAACAAACTAGTTTCCGTACTTTGATTTTGCATTTCGCTTTTCATTTAAATATCAAGTTCTGGCCGTATTGCATAAGCATGTGAAACAAAGCTGTATATAGTGGTAGATATATACATATATACAGACGCTTACCTGTGTCTAACTGTAAGACGCTTGAGGAGGTGGTCCCAAATTCCGCCTCCTGCTCGCTTGTGGGGCCGGATGTTGGCAGCGTGGCGGCCGCGGCACTTCCGAGTGCGACCGTCGCGACGGTTAGTAAAATGTAAAACGCTTGCATATCTTTCTTTTTCTTTGCTGTTGTTGTCAAAACGGACAACGCTTTTCACAATTGGCAATATAAACTTGTTTCAATTGAATAGTTATTGTTTTTGGCTTGATTTAACACAGATACAAAATGCTCTCACACACGCACACACATACAATTATACAAACGTGGGCAATTTTCGCTTGACTCTTTTTTGTTGTTGTTGGTTTTTGCGTAATTTTGAAAACCGGCTTCACTTTTATTTCTACACGAATTTAACAGTTTGTTGTTGCCGTCGTTTTCTCGGTTAACTGCAATTGTTGCTGCAATTGCGCACACACACGCACACACGGACACACACACACTGCTAAACAGTGTCAAACACACACCTACACACAGCTAGCCAATTCAGTTGCCAAAGATACAAAAATTCAGCGAACTTAAGTTGTTGACGGCCCGCCGCTTGCAAATCTTCAAATGAGCGCTGCATAAAACTTACGTTTATTTATAGTTTTCAGTTCGAGTTTTTCCATGCGCGCGCTGCCGAAATAAAAAGCGAACAAAAATACAAACAACAACAGCAACAAAATGCCCAATTCGAAGGCTTTCGGAGCGCGCTGACTGAGCTTTCGAAGCTTTCGTCTTGTTGAGGTATTCGGTGGCTTTGAGAACATGAGCGGCACAGTTTGAGCAGCACTGTACTCGAAATACTCAGCATGAGTTTGCACAATCAAGAGCGCCACTTGAATGCCAAGTGTACTAAATCAGAGAAAACGTCTAGACATGATTATTATTCAAGAGTAATCAGCATTCTATTTAGTCTAGTTAAATTTTTAAATGGTTTCTACACCTGATAGGGATCTTTATATCACTGAGAATGGAGCACAAAGTACATTTTCAGGGAAACACTAAATTTTTTTTTCTTTTCAATCTCTAAACTATGATATAACTTTATTTATTTAACCTTTTTTTTTTTTTTTTTTTTTTTTTAAATATAGATATGAAGTAATATGATAATTTTTATAAATTAAATTATTAATTATTGATTTTATTTTTTTTTCATTGATCAAAAGATCCTAAAACAATGTTAAATATGTTTAAAATATTACATTTATATTTATAAACAGTAAAAAAATAATTTAATTTTTGTCGTTATTTTCATATGTATAAAAATAGATAAAATATTGGGGTTATTCAATTTATGCAATATATTTACAATTATAAAATATATACCAATGTAAATGTAATTTGATGTATATATGTATATAAATCTGAAGTATGATTAATTTTTCTTGTGTATTAATATTTAGCTATATATTTTAAAGTGCATTATAAATATTTAGTTTATTGTATTCAGCTCATGTGTAAAGCAAAGAAATCATTAATCAATACATGAAGAGTATACAAATCTGTATCATTAATCTAAATGCTTGAGCTAATATCAATCAACAACAACAAAAGATTGCGCTTACAAATTAGTCGATCTGACAACAATGAGGAAGCTGTCGACAAGCTGCCATTTACCACAACACACCCAGCTAAATGCCAATGCCAATCCCCGATACAGTTTGAGCTGCATTGCCGCAGTTGCAGAGGCGCTGCGCCTAGTTGGGGAATTGGATTCACATTCGGCTGGGGCATGTAAAATGTGGGCCAGACATAAATCTCTAGCAACGTTTACACTTGAACCGCCACAAAGTTTGAGTTTGTGTAGTTTTTAGGCGTTTCTCTTCAAGGTGATCGACGTGAGGTGCCGAGGATTTGTTTATGAAAATGAGCACTGAATGAAATAATTGTAAACCAGATCGTTGCACTGCAGGTGCTTCACAGGGCTGACTTTTAAGCCAGTGTCAAATTTGGCAGATGCGTCATAATATGTTTTGGTTAAACAAAATAACAAAAAAATAAATAAATAAAATGATGAAAAAATGAGTCAAATATCTTATGCTTATTATGCTTCACCTGTCTTCGAGCAGACGACAAATGTGCGTGTGCCTCGCATGTTCATTCAGCAATTGCTACACACACATATGCATATATATACATGATCTAAAGTATTGTATATTCAAAATAGAATTTAATATTCGTATCACACCTGAGTCAATCGGAATTATGCACAAACGCGTGCAATACTAGCTTATAATAGCTGATTTATGGCATAGTTAACGCCGATCCGGTGGCTAAATAATCTAGAGTGGAATATTACCGCACTTAACATATCTACTAAGCTACAATTATAGACCATATTATTTATGTCAACTCTTTGGCAGGCCGATAAAATGTTCTCGTTTGCTTGTAACAAAACTACTTACGGAGCCGGTTCGTTGACGTCATCTGAGGCATTAAGTAATGCTAGTGCTTCTGAAACTGTAAGTGTAAACAATATGTATTGGATAATTTGTAAGCAGCTCTATTGAAATACTATATATACACAATACTACATATAAATATATGTAAATATTTGCTGCTACAAAACAATTAACGTGCGGCCTGATTGATTTATTAGCATCGTTTATTTTGACAGGAGGCAATTGCGACTGTGGCAGCCATTAAGAACTGCATCAATTTATTAGCAGCAAGGGGAAGAAATATAGAAATAATTAAGAGTATTCTAGTCGAGGATTTCCGGCTAGAAGATATCCCGAACTCTATTTCAGTCATTATATGCTTGCATACACGCAATATTACTGTACTAATAGATGGCCTGGGTCTCTGCTCGTCATAATAGTGAATATGTATACTTTATAGGGTCTGCTACCCCTCCTCCTGCCTGCTTCTGTCTGTGACTGTGATTTATTCCTACAAAATCATTATTTAGAGCAGCAGATAAATGCAAAATATCAGGATATAGTATTTTCTAAAGTGCATCATACCTAGACCCAGAATGTCGTGATTCCTAATGAAAAGAAAATTTTGTAACTATAACACTAAGAGTGATTCCGATGTATTCTTTATGGCCTGACAGCAAACGCCGTCAGACACAATCAAAAAATTCAATTTAGACTCATTAGAGTGCTCCTCTCCACGGAAATCTTTAGTAAAAGGCGAAAGATTTATTCGACAACTGAAGAGAAGCCAGAGTAAAGAAACTGTGAAAACCAACCCCGATGTACTCTAGGACATGCTTGAACTCCTTGGGAATTCTAACTTAGAAGCAGTTCAACAAACAGTCTGAAGCAGACAACGCGAAATTTATAATTAGGGAGGGTTTCTCTTTCCGAGTTGCTACCTGAAAAAATTACTCTAGTAAATTGGGTTGTCAAAAATAAAAAGATAAATATGAATGATTAGACTAAAATGTTTATTATCTGAGTTAATTTAGTTGAGGGCTGTAATTTATATACTATAAAGCAGTCGATTTACTATGAATCTATGAATATATATAATACGTATATAATATAAATAAATATGCTGATGTACAACAGAATAAATTACATAATTAACAGCTTCGACTTTGACTGCAACTAATAGTCTGATCTTTGCCCTAATCAAAATAAAAATCATGTAACAGCTTTGAAACTAAATTGAATAATATTCAATTTAGTCATAAATTGCGTCTAAGTAGTCACGATTCTCATTGGAGATGCAAAATAATGCATTAACCGTAATTTTGACATAAACAAAGTGCCTGTATACCGACTGCCAACGGTATACAGGCTCTAAAACTGTTGGCTACTTCACTCGTAACGCCAATTCACATTGCTCAATTTCACTTTAATGCCTGCACTTGGGCACTGCCTACGATAGACATATATTTCAATTAAAATATATATAGATAGCAACACGATCTCAAGGTCAGCGTGTCGTGCACTTAACCCCATTAGCTGGCTGCCCTCTAGGAAGGGGGCCGTTTCGAAATGGGTGCCTAAACTGGAGCATGACCAAAACAAAATTAAACTAAAACCTGTTTCAATGCGCCTCAGTTTAATAATGACAAATAATTGCAAGTGCGGATTTATTGGAGGTAACCTGCTTTAATTCAGATATTTCAATAATGAAAATAATTACTTAAGGCACTCACAACAACGTATGTACATACATACAAGTGTTCTAGAGCCTGAGGCTCATTTCGGTGACTGGATAAACTGATCGATGGGCATATGCTGCAGTGCCTCGTTGATCAGACGCAGCATAACAGGAGCCCACGATTGCCGCGTCTCTGGCAAGATAATGCCGTAGATGTCACGCCAATAATTGTTGGCCACACTCAATGCGAGCTCATCTGTGGAGGAGATTCGGTTAGAGTAGTGAAATTAGCATCCAAATGACGATGCACACATACCCAATTCAGGATCGCCAAAGATGCCATTGGCCTTGATGGTCAGATCACGAACAGTGGGATTCGCCTCGATATCCTTGAGACGCAAGAATCGTAGACCATCCTTGGTATAAATTTCGCCATCCATGATCACACGGTTCTCCACATCAGCTGCAATCGAAAATCATATATACATATCGATATATATCGATTACCAGAATATAATGTCTACCTACATAGCGTTAGGTTGAATGTGCCCTTGGGCTTCAATTGCAACGAGTTCACCTGCAACTCTGCCTTGTAGTCGCCCAAGATATTCATCTTGGGTATTTCCGAAACGGTTCGTAGCTTGACCTTATCCCCTTTGACCTTGACATTTACATCTTTGATCTTGTGCTCGGCGAAACCATAGAGCTTCACATTACGCACAGAAATCTTTCCATTGACCGCACCACTCGAGTACTGGAAACTCAAGCGGTCTATGACGAGGGGATCGTACGGCTCGATGCCCAGCTCGGGATCGCCCAGTCGCAAACGTGGTATTAGCTCGTTCATAATGAGCTTGATGCATTCGCCAGCGTGATCGGCGTCGATGGGACACTTGGGCAAGTCATCAGCTGCCAATAGGATAATAAACTTCGTTATACACTGCGTATGCGCAATGGCATTCAAACACTTTATACACACTCGACAGGTACTTTGGCTCAGCGGGCGCTGCATAAACTCCGCTGGCCCAAAGGCAAATCGTAGCCAGCGCAATATAATGCATGCTTAATATTTAATGTGATATAATAATATAATGTATATTATTTGCGATCGGATCAACTGAGTCCTCGTCAACCTGTTGTTAGAATGATCCGCCTTAAACTGAGTCGGTCGAGAACTGCTTGGCGCTATTTAATTCTCAGATTTAGCACAGGCACATTACGAGCAACGGGCACGACATTAATTTGAAGCTAGTCGTTTCCACTAAGCTTGGAATATTGTACTTTTAAATCAACGATAAAACTTTACCGACATATCGACTTGTACTGATTGAAAACCGGCTCGGCGACTGCGATATTTATTATAATGCCGAATCATTAAGTGGAAAACGATTTAAACAAAAAAAAAAAAACGACAATTGTCAAATGAACTTCGACAATGACAATGATTTGCATTAATATAGTTTTAATAATTTACTATTGACAACAAATTCAACTTGTACGTTTAGCGGTTAGCTAATTATACCCTGTAACCATATGAAGTGTCTTCGAGACTTTCATAATCTCTTTGATCGATTATTTGCAAATCATATTTTCTGTTCAAATATTTGTTAATTGCAGCTTCTTTAACTTTTCATTAAAAAAAGATTCATATATAGTTTAAATATATGTAAGTAAGTCATAAAATTAAATTAATTTTTAGCATTCATCAAAGCCCATATAATTAGTTATGCAGCAATAACTTCCGCGCTAATTATTTAACATTTAAATGAAGTTATATTACTCAAGCTGGGAGTACCAGACTAAAAAATACCCTTGCTTACTTCAACAATGTTTTCCATTTGAAGTAAGACAAATATGGCTCATACCAGAAGACTCCTCTCAAATACATAAGTTTAATAAAATAATAGATACTTCATTCCCCTATCATGGGATAGGGGAAATGTCTTTGCACTGTAGAGCATCGCCAATTTTAATATTTTTCCTTATCAGCATAAGAATAATAAGAATTTTCTTTAAGGAATTATTGGTGCATTTTGCACAGGCATAAATTGAGTGGCTTCCATCAATTTAACTTAAGCAGAACAGGATATTCATTATTTGAAATCAAATCAAGCTATGCTATGAAAGCACCTTCGTCTAAAATTGAATTTCTTCAGTTTTTGCCAATGCGTTTATACGGAGAGAAAATCTTCTAGACTATTGATAGTATTTCAGATATTCATTCTTATTCACTATCAATTAGATGTATAATTATAGTATATCTCTTATATACACACATGTACACATCAAAATTAACATACCCATTTTCAATAGCTGCAGGGTATAGAAAAAACTTGTTTATTAATGCATATAATTACATGTGCTGATTTTATTGGACTAAACCTGATTTAATTAAAATATAATAAGTACTAAAGTTCATCACAATGTATTATATACATACAAGTGCTCTACGGCTCGAATCTCATTGGGATGGCTGGATGAACTGGTCGATGGGCACATGCAGCAGGGCCTGATTGATCTGGCGAAGCACAACAGGAGCCCACGCTGGTCGTGTCTCTGGCAGGACAATGGCATAGATATCTCGCCAGTAGCTATTGGCTATATTCACGGCTAGCTCGTCTGTGAAAGAAATTCAAATAGATGTAATTAGAATACGATTTTTGCATACAAAGAAGTTTACCCAATTCAGGATCCGGAAAGATGCCATTGGCTTTAACGATTATATCACGAATTTTTGGCTCTATTTCGATATCATTGAGATGCAAGTATCTAAAATCATCCTTGGTGTAAATGTCGCCATTCGCGATCACTCGAAACGCTGTATCAACTGAAGGAAATCAATTTATCAACATTATAATATATAAGTTGAATATCAATTTAATCCAAATTTTATCTACTTACAAAGTGTTACATTGAAGAAACCCTTGGGCTTCAGCTGTAGCGAGTTCACATTCAATTCCCCCTTGTATTCGCCAAGCATATTTATCTTATCCACATTCGAGAGAACTCGCACCTTGACCTTATCCCCATTCACTTTAATATTCACTTTGTCGACCTTGTGCTCGGCGAAGCCGTAGATCTTAACATTTTTAACCGAAATCTTACCATCGATCGGTCCAGTTGAGTACAGGAAACTTAGGCGATTTATGACTAGAGGATCGTAGGGCTCAATGTTCAGCTCGGGATCACCAAGTCGCATGCGTGGTATCAGCTCATTCATAAGGATCTTGATACAATCTCCCACCTGCGCGGCATCCTTGGGACACTTGGCCAAGTCCTCGTCTACCGATAGCAATCGAAAATTGTGTTATACACTGCGTATGCGTAATGCCATTACAATACTCCGTACACACCCGTTATATACTTTGACGCCGCGAGCACGGCACGAGGTGCATTGGCCAAAAGGCAAATTGCCAATACCGCAATATACTGCATGCTGTTCCAATTGATATGCTGGCAATATTCCTTGGGATTTACTTAAAAGATCAACCTTCTGTTAGCATGATCCGTCACAAACTGATCCGCCCGGGCGCAGCATCGTCTTATTTTATTCTCGGAAAATTCAACTCTAAAATCATTAAGTGCACGGCTATAATCCATTGTTTGAAGCTGCCATTAAATATGGGAAAGTGCATATCTAGTTCAGCAAATATCCCACATCGACTGACCCCAAGTTCTTTATTGTCAAAAGACAATGATTTGTGTTAATAATTTTAATAGTTCCTAATTGGAAATAAGCAGAACCTAAGCGCAAGCCGCCTAATAATTGTATACTTTAAGCACTTGAAGTGGTTAGAGTTCTAGTCAAATGGAAAGGTACATATATATTGTATATGATGTATGTATGGCATAGTTAATTTCAATTTTAATTATATATTTGTAAGTTCTTCTGTATCTTTACTTTGTAGTCTATCGTATTATTAACGCAAGAATATATATAGCAAGAATATGTATGAATCTATTTAATCATGTATGTGTATCCTATACATGATTCAATAGATTCATATATATTCTTGCGTTAATAATGTTTTTTTGCTCAAGCTTAAACATTTTAATACAAAAAATCTACCCCGATACGAATATTCCCAATTAAAATTTTTATAAAACTGATTTTATAAAGAAGATCTATACTGCTCGAGAAAACCTGAAGCTATCTAATACAGTGTTTCGTCATAATAATATGTGAAGTTTTCGGAAAATATCCCAGTCTAAAATCGGGATTTTATTTTTATTATTATTATGTTATTACGTTAAATCAGAATTGGTAGCTTAAGTGGGGCTAAAATGATTCTTTTGAATACTTAAAATGTTGTCTTTAAATATTCTAAACAAAAATCTAGTTTTGATCAGTAATAAAAAAATATTGTTAAGTAAGTGTGGTTTATCAGAGCTAAAGGATAGGATAAAGGATAGAAGGTAATCAAAATATGTCCTAAATCGCAATATTTAATTGGCTCGGAGTATTAAACTTATTCTCTTATTAACTTAACATTCAGAATTCCTATTTAAATGTCGATTTAGAGCATAAGGAGAAAAATATATATGAATTCTCTAGGCTTGACAATTAGTCGATTGTTGTAGATTTACTTAATTCATTGAATTAACTATACCCTACAATTATTAATCTTTTAATGAATCTAGAATCTAAAAACTCATTCAAAAAATTCAATTGAAATTTCATTTTATTTGCATACAAACTAAATTAACACCATGAATAAAGCACATAACCATATAATAATACGATCGTGTAGAGACTACCACATGCAGACCGGCCCCGCCCACAAAGCTAATTCTAATTCTGTTTGAGAATCAAGTCGAAGGGCAGAGCAGCAAAGAACTCATTGGCCAGCTTGAGCATCTGGGGCTCCCAGATGGCCATTGTTTCGGGCAGCATGGCTTGATACAGCTGGCGCCAATATTGATTGATAAAGTCCAAGATGACATCGTCTGCAATCGAAAGGCAAATTGTTTAAGTTAATGTGCATCTGTTGGCCGTTTGCTGAACCTACTTAGCGCTGGGTCGGGCACCAGGCCATTGGCATAGATGCGCATGTCGCCCACTTTGGGCTCAGACTCGAGCTTCGACAGACGCAGATAGGTGTGACCGTCGCGCTCGTATAGTTCGCCCATGGCGCGCGTTTTCATGCTGACGTCGCCTAAAATGTCAAATGTGTGTGTGCGAGTGTGTGTGTGTGTGTGGATGACATAGTAATTATCGTAAATTCGATGTTTGAGTACATATAATATTGACGCATACTTACTCAGCGTTACGTTGAAGGTGCCTTTCGGAGTTATCTTCATGTCGTTCAGTTTGATGTCCGCCTTGTAGGCGCCCTCTGCCAGCATTTGTGGCACATGGCTGATCATCTCCATGCGCACACGATTGTTCTTCTGGCGGTAGTCCACCTTGTCGACGATGCCCTCGCTGAGGCCATGAACCGCCACATTTCTCATGGCAATGCGGCCCTGGAGCATGCCCGAATTGTAATTGTAGGAGCTCTTGCCCAGCTCAAAGGGATCCATGGGCGGTATGTTGAGGTCGCTGATGCCGTTCTTGAGGCGTGGCGTCAGCTGCTGAAAGCCCTGTTTGATGCACTCATTGATATTATTGTCCGACTGATGGCAGGTCGGTATATCGTCAGCTGTTCAAATTAAAAACATGATTTTCCATTCAGTGATTTATGATTCAAATGATACATTCAAAATAAATAGAACATGCATGAGCATTGCCCTTGACACACATCAGAACGCATCTCATATCGGGTGTGATCTATGAGGCCTATGCTCAGAACGTGACATTTTGGCCAGTCGAGAATTTTGTTGCCGCTAATCGATGCCGTGCATAATTGCGATTCTCCCCGGCCCCGTCGGCGAAGCGTCGCGCGCTTGAGCTATTTAATTGTCGGCTATGTTAGATAGATATTTACAAAATGACTTAAAAGCACATTTATTGTTTGACAAAAAGGCCAACATTCAATTGCAAGTGCTTTGCGTTGAGCATTGACGAAGCGTTTCGTTTCATTTTATGGCGCATATCGCTCTGTCGCATCAAGTTTGTCGCTTAAATCTTTGTCACTGAAGGCTTTTTGCAAACGCAAATGCAAACGGCCGCTGCGACGGGAGAAGGCCGCTTAGCGGAAGTGGCAATCGACTGCGGCCTACAAAAATATAACGACTCAAAGCTTCTGATCTTTATGTCTTGAGCGAATAGCAGACAAGACTTCTAACAATTCTATTTGAATAATCTAATGAAATGTCAATGACTTGTAACAATTTTATACTTTTATAGTGTGAATTTAATTTACCTTTTTTATATTTTTAAATTTTATACTTTATATAAAATGTATGTGCTTTATACTTGTAAATATTATTAATTTTATACTTTTTTTTACTTATAGTTTTTATTATTCACTTAATTTATAAATTCTATACTTTTAAAATGTGAATATAATTTATATATAAAATTGCTTTAAAATCATCACGAAAGCAATTTAAGTTTGTTGTTTTATATTATTTCCGAATGCAGAAAATTTAATTATTTTATTTCTTGAGCTGCTTAGATTTTCTAGCAGTTTATTATAAATCTTAAGTTCAATATTATAAATCTTAAATTCAATATTTAAGCCACATATAGAAACGGCTAGTTCTATCAGCTACTTTCGCTTTTACTTGTTTGTTCTCTTGTGTGATTGTTAAAAAAAAAAAAAAAAAAGTATCATTGTTGGCCATATTAAGAGTCCAAAAATATACTTTATTCCAATATTCATTTGCTTATTCTTTATAGCCCTCTTCACATTCACATAATGCATACTAATTATTTGATTATTTTGCCAAAACATTTATATCTGACCATTAGCTGTACCTTTTTTAGGCAACATCATTCATTATATGATTGACAATTGTTGTCAATTTTGAATAATTACACAGGCCAGCAAAATTGGATAAAATTTTGTATTTAAGAATCTTTTTATGTTTTCCTATCCCTAAATTCCAGGTGTTTGAGATTTTTATAATTTAAGTCGGTTATATCTAAAGCTTTTGTATCCCGTATTATTTTGTAATATTGGGAGTTACTATTTTTCTACTTTCACATAATTTAATCAAATGTTTCCATAAAACCAAGACTTTATCTGATATTTTGCGCTTTAGAAAATCTTTATGTGTTATAAAAATATATTCCGCAGAAGAAGTGTAAAAATTCAGAGCGAGATAAAGACAGATGGGGTAGGCACAACAGTTTTCTAAATTTAAACGATAAACAACGATATTTACTAAATTCTTTCAGATTTTCATAAATAAAACCAAACTTCTTGATGTTTCAATATCAACAATATCAATTATCAAATATAAATATTAGTTTGAGTTCGTTTTTAAATATGTATAAGTATGAGTATAGACTGATTCCTGTTTACTAAATATTTTTTGACAGTGTTTTAAAGTATCTAAAATAACAGATAACTTTTTATATAAATAATTTATAATATTACTGCCAACTGTTGCTAAATTTGCTCGTAGTAAATTGGCTCCAATACACGCAAATGCAGTTGCATGAAATTGCATTGTTGTAAAATTCGCACAGCTTGACGTGTTTCACACGATCGCCGCGATGTGGCAGCATTTTATTGCAATTGCTGATATTTATCCGCTAATTTAGGAATTCTGTTATACGAGTCTATCTTTGCTGAAAATAATTGTGACTGAGGGCGGGGAAATGTATGTAGGTAATAGTTTAAAGTTGATGTTGAAGGGCTTAAGCAATATTATGTGTTGACATAACACTTAAACTGCTTTCGAGATGTTGACTTGGTACAAATAGTTTAAAAAGGTGTAAACAGAAAACTTCTACTAAAATAATATTTGAACAATTCTCTGGCTGACTCATGCTGCTAAAGTGTATTCCATTCAATATTCTTTTCAATTAAAAGAAAAAATCAAAAGACTTAGGACACGAACTTGTTTTTGTTTATATGCATAAATATGTAATTGAAATGCATACAAGCTTTATAAATCATTAATAAATATATGTATTTATTATGAATTCAAAACTTAGTATATATTTAAACAAAACCATTAAACCCTGATTTCAAATCAGTCGTTATTCTCACCTAATTTTGTGATGGGCTTAAACTCAATAGTTGGCAAGCCGAAACTCTCATCCGCAGCCAAAATCGTGCCCAGGCACGACACCAAAATGAATGCACTTAAAACACTTGACATTTTCTTTAAATCTAATTTGATTTTTTTTTTTTTTTGTATTTTCCTAGCTTTACTTCAAATGCGCAAATTTCACTTTCGTTGGGATTGAAGTCAGTTAAGGATGTAGTTAGTTAGATAGTACAACAGCGACGCCCCCGGCTCATGCAAATGCGAAGCGACATCTGAGACCTACGACCGACCGCTAGCTTGTATTTATGGCGAAAATAGAGAGTAAACGCAACGCTATAATAGGCACCCACAGTCGGTTGATGCGCACTGGGATTGGGGGATTGAGCCAGTGAAACGAAAATAGCTTCGGAGCCTAATGACAACGACAACAGCGCTGAGCAGAGGGCATCCAACGCGAAATCGGTAGCGAAATACAAACGACATTATTAAATACCCTAGACAAAAGTCGTGCCCAGCCGGAGCCCACTCAACTACCGGCAGCTGTCCGATTTGGATGCGCTTCAAGCCGTTTGATGCTTCCTCGTCGTCGCACTGATTATTGGAATCTGTTGCTGGCCCGGCTGACACTCAAAAGCCAATCAGGCGTTGAGAAATCCGCTACGCGAGACATGTCCGATACTTAACTAAATGTTGCAATGCCCAAGACGATTTATACTGCTCAATTAAAGCGTAGATGCAACTGAGATTCAAATCATTTTCATTTGCATTTGCATAAATGCTATCTCTGTGAAAAATGAAAGCCTTTTCATATTTTGCATTGATTAATTGTTGTTTACACTATGCAACGTGGCATATGTTATAAGCATTGAAATTGTTTATTGTAGGAAGAGCAAAAAACTGGCGAATAATAAATTGTAATATCTTTAATCCAAATGTCGTGTAAAAGAAATTGAGAAGATAATTTTAAAAATCAATGTGAATCTACAAATTAACTAAGCTGTATCAAATCTCAGCTATTTAATGGAAACAGAAATCAAAGATAATTAATAGATTCTATTGTGGCCTAAGTTCTTGGTCGTAAAATTGTGCAGGGTATGCTCAGATCAGACCAACTAGCGCGCCTTGATTGCTTCAAAATTACACAATACCCCATTATTAATACAAAGAATAATTTCAAGTTAATATGGGAAACTCACTGCTTGTATTTCTAATTATAAATAATTTATTTTTGGCATAGATCTTGTTGCATAGTGCGGCCAAGTAGACAAACCATAGCAAATTGTTTGCTTTAAATCTAATTGAGTGACTCTGCACATTCGCATTAATTGAATTCAACTTTAGTCAACAACAAACTCGCTGAGCAGAGACGTATTAGGTTCGATCCCTTCAGAGAACTCATGAGTTGCAGTGAGTTAATCAGATAATTAGAATATTAGCTATAAGTCATGAACGAGACTAAGAGCAGCCCAAAATGGATCTTGCTCGATAGCCACGTGATATTTAGTTGACTTGCTGGAATTACCCATATTTGACTTTGTAACTTTAGATATCTGTTTATTGATATTACATTCAGTAAAATTACAAATAAGGCAAAGGTGATAGGGGATTTCTTAAATAGGCGCAACATTAAATGCAAAATTGATGAAAGCCTGATCGCAGTATAATTGATTAGCTTCTATATGCATCACGTTTAAATTTATTTAATTTGTTGCCTTATCTGAAATTCAAGGGCGCATCCAGTTTTTTTTTATGCCTCGGTCTCTGCACCATTCTCAATCGCTTATCATCAGCACAGTTGAACTATTCTGGGTTTCGGCTTTGAAACCCAAACCAAAACCCAATACCTCTTATCAGCTGGCGTAATGAATGCCCAAACTCCGTGTCTGCCTTTTGCAATCCGATCAAAAGTCAGTGAAAGACAAGAGCTCAGCTCACTGCAAACTCTGCGTCTTATCGTAATCAGCAGCATGATGCACCAGTAATGCCAATTCCAGGAAATTTGAGATTTTAAGAAAAACAAAAAATAAATAAAAAGAAAAACAAAAACCAGTTCGACAATATCTTATCAATACACACACACACGCACACACTGAGAGTGTTTTGTGACGAGACAAATGAGCCGCAAATGCTTCAAGCAAAACCGAAAATTGAACAATTCGAATGGAATTGAAAAGAAAACACATGGCACAGCCTCCTCCGACTATTGACACAAGCTGCGACAATGGCAACGAGCGAGCATAAGAATAGAAAAGAAATTATCTGGCTGCGGAACAAACGCAAATTGAATGAAAGCCAAACAAAAGGCGCGCATTTTGCCACCTAGGGAGCTGGGCAAACACAGACACACACGCACACGCGTACACGGAGATCTGTCTACAGCCGATAGCCAGATGAGTTCATGAATACCCAAAGCCAGCTCATTAACTAGGCCTGGCCACACTCGAGCACGCAAGAACAAACACGCACGCACAAAAGGCTTATCAGCGGGGTAGGTAGGGCTCAGGGGTACGCTTAAGGGCTGCGGCGCATGCGCGAAAGCAGGATGCAGGACACTGGACGCAGGAGGCAGCTCGCCGTGCACAGTGCGCAGTTTACAGGTCATCAGCTGATTTTATGGCCTTGTTTTTTTTTGCAAAAATAGATTTCCCTTTTACAGTTTGTGTAAACAACATCATAAAATGCGGATTAGAGCCGGCGAATTGATAAGAGCCGCGAGTCAGCAATCTCTCATATATAAGCTTGACGCGCATCGGTCCAGGACAACAGTCAGCGAGACGACGACAAACCAATCACACATCATCATCATTATCATCTTGAGAAATGGCTCTGACAATGCAAGGCAACAATCCGCTTAGCTATCGCCACAAGAAGTTCGATCTGCGGCGTCCACGTAACGACGAGCTGGAGCTGCAAATCAAGGAGGAGCTGCTGGCACGCCTCGATACAGCGGGCTGCAACAGCGGCTCCGATGGGGAGGAGGACACAAGCAGCCAGTGCTCCAGCTTGATGTCCCTGCCCAAGCGTCGTCGGCTCAACAGCACCGTATACGATGGCTCGAACGGCTCGGAATCTGCATCATCCTCGCACTCGCTGCCGCCCTCCATCAGTCCGGAGGCGCTGCGAGATATTTGCAAATACCACGGCAATATGGTGCGAAAGTTTCCGAAGAAAGAGCGTTCGCCCAAGGATCAGGATCGACGCAATAAGAACACCATCGCCTGTCGCATGAGTCGGCGCGTCAAGAAACTCGAACACCTGGCCATCGAGGAGCAGTACAAAGAGTTCACGCTGCAGCACCTGAAGATTGTTGAGCAGAGTATGCGTGCCACGGCCTACTTCAATCATCTCAATCATCTGGTCAAGCATGAGCAATCCACAATGAGCTCTGCCCCGGCGCCAGTTCCAGTGCAAGTGAAGAACTTTAGCATCGACTATTTGATCAACGGCATTAAAGGCGAACAGTGTTAGAAAACACTCGTTCAATCACTGTGTGATGTAATGCCAATGCCACCCCCTTAAGCTTTACTAACTATTATTTAGTATATAATCTATTCATATATAGCATTTAAGTAAATGTATTAAGTTTTTGTTTAAGAAACAAAAGGTAAAATTATCAATTTTTTTTATGTTTTTATGCCGTAAAATAATTCAATATTATTATTTTTAATTAGGTATTATTTATTTTGTTTATTTTTTATTTTTACATTAATAATATATATTTGAAAATAGAACTATTAATAAAAAATATTAACAAAATATCCCACAACTCCACATTTTTGTTGCAATTTTTAAAATTTTAATTGGAATATATTTTCATGCTACTATTGTTTTAAAAATATGTATATCATTCATGTATATAATGTATATGTATGAATGGATTGAAATTAGAGACAATGTCTTTCTACTAATACCTGCCAAAAAAGGGGCGTGCCCAACTCAATCAAGTATCGTGCGTGCTAGTCCAACCCGCTTCGGCAATTATAAAAAAATGTGTCATTTATGTATGTTTTTTCCACTATATCATCTTATTTTATTATTAATACTTAAAATCTATAATCAAAGTTATCGTCAATTTTTTTTTCGAACATTTATTTGCCTTAGAAATAAGATGTTCAAACAGGTGCCCTTCCTTGTGGTCTAACTAGTTTGCCTTAAATAAAAAAAAAAAAAAATTCTGTAATTCTTATTGATAATTAAATATTTTATTACAATTATATATATATATTTTTTTAATTTTATTTATTATGATGCGTGTTGAATATTTTTGTTGAGTTGAATTGGAAGAAACCATATTTTTAATACCACTTTATTATTATTATTATTATAATTAATATTTATATAATACTTATCAATTTGCTGATTAATCACATGGAACAAAATTAGCTCCTTTTTGTATGCGAGTTATGAGCACATTAAAGCCTTTCCTTTCACAATGTTTAGCCAGGTAGAAAATCAATGTACCAAATCAATGCTCAGCTCAAATGAACAGCACAAGCTCCCGCTCATACTTATGCATAAGGAAATCGCCATGCGAAGAGCCCCAGAGCAACTGCAGCTGACTCAGCTGAGGCGAGGTGCAGTCAACTGTGCTGCGTCTAGCAACAATAACAACAGTTAGTTAATTAAAGTTGAGTATTCATGTTGAGCAGTCGTAGTCGTAGTCGCAGTGTCCCTCTTGCCGTCCCGTACCGCTCCACCTGGTAATTAACTCTTTTGGGGCTTTTATTTTCGGCATTGCGCAATGTCCGAGCAGCTAATTACTTTTAATTTTCATTGTAGGCCATTTGATAATGCTCCAAAGCGACTTCCTATCAAGCTGGGAAATCCAAAGGCAACCCACTTTACCAACACAAACATATACTACACTCTTGCGTGTGTCTATGTGAATTTTGAGTTAACTGCAAAACTACTGCTGTTGTTGCTCTTGCTATAGCGATCGCATTGCCAGTTTAACATTGAAAACTGCATTCGATGTGAAAATATCAGTAGCAGCAACAGCAACTCAAATATATACCAAAACTTTGCGGTTGCAACACTTTGGTCGCTGAACTTGAGCTTTTCGCAGTTAGACTCAGACTATTGCAGTGTCTATTTCTATCTCTATCTCTCTCACTCTCCCTCTCTCTCTCTCTCACTCTGCTGTCGTCTGTTGCCTGCTCAGCCAATATTGATATTTGATTTGATGGTGTATTTCGTAATTTCACTACAGCTCGCTCAGTATTCGATGTGCTCTATGCTGCTCCATGCTCGCCCTTGACAAATGAACCAAAATAAATGAGAACAGCAAATTAACTCAGACTAAGTCTAGCATTAGTTGAGACTCTTTAGCTGTACCTTAGCTATTAGACAGCAATAGTTTAATTTAAATTGCAAATTGCGCGTTGGTCTATACTAGAGCATGGTTTAGTTTCATCCTCTTCTTGAACTGTTGTAGCTTACTTATTAGCTTGGTCATCCTTGGCCTGTAGTTAGCATGAGATTATTTATATTTAAGCACTGAATTTACTCGGAAATGTGGATAAAGGTAAATGTAGAATGATTTCACTGAAATGCTTCAACCAAGTAAAAATGTTTGAGTTCACTAAATAAATAAGCATATCTTTGGTCATAATGACATCTGAGTTATTATAGCCATGTGTATGATTCATTTCTCCAATTTTCTATCATTAAAAGAATTTCAGAGAAGATTTTATAAGCATACATAGCTCAAATATAATTAAAGCTAGAGACATGCAAAATATACACAGATTGTATAATAATTGTATAATTAAGCATAATTAGAGATATCCCACTGGATAAAAAAGGGAGTAAACTGTATATATAGAAAAACAATATCACATTACCAGATGTTAATTTTATAACAATTATATATGATTAAACTAAAATATAATATAATAAAATAAAGAAGTAGGTTGACTCTATGTCAAAATAATAATAATATTAATATAATTTTAAATATGTTATAGGTTATAATGCATTTAACATATCATGTGACAAACTTTTATTTAGTTCGACTATGCTAGACATCCCGAATAAAAATACGTAAATGCTTTCTAGGTTCCATCACGCCTCTCTCCGTCTGCTAGAGGCCAGCTATATGGAATCAAGGATATTGTATGACATTTGTAGTCTATTAGTTTCATCATCTTTGCATGCAATACTTGGATATTAATTGGCATACATTTAGATATACAAAAATATCCATTCATAGATGCCATTCTCGGCCTGACTGATTTGCCGTTAGTCCACTATATATTGAAGCTGCATTCATTTCATTCCAAGATTTAAAATTTCCCATTCCTGAAACCCATTCAAAATAAACAAAACGTATTTATATAATGAATTTTTGGTTTTAATTTTAAAGTCAACAATGAATAAATTAATACTTAGGCAACTAAATCACATTCAATGGCTATCTTAGATAATAGATTCGATTATTAGATAATAGGTGATCCATGCATCACTGCTGGGATCCAAAGATCAGGAGCTGTTGCGATAGCGCCATTTGCTGTAGGAACTGTTGTTGTTGCTGCGGCAGCTGGATGCCCGTGGCCGTGACGCCTTTCTGGAAGATCGCCTGCTGCAGCAGCTGGCGATAGTAGAGACCGAAGCGGACCTGTTGCTCCATTATGGCGACCTGCTGCGCACGATATTGCTCGTATTGCTGCGTTAAGTGCGCATCCTGCGCCTGTTTGGCCCGCCGACTCAGCAGACAGGCCAAGGTGTTGCGGTCGCGTCGCTGCTGCTCCTTGGGACTGCGCTGCCGCGGTGTCTGGGTGCGGCGCACCATGTTGGCGTGATATGTGCCGGCCAGAGCTGCTGGAGCACTGGGCTTTTGCGGAGCAACGCCTGTGGCTGTCTGAGTTGTGGAGGCTGCCTCGATGTTCTGCTCGCTGTCCAGCCAGGGGCGGAAGAAGCCCTTCGTCTGGCGGCGTTTGCAGGCCGGCGCCCCTAGCGTAATGTTCTCCTTGTTCTGCTCCAATATCTGATCCACATCTCGTTTACGCTTGTGGGCCGCAAACTTCTTGTGCACATAGCTATTCGAATTGTTGGACATTTCCATTATTTCTCTCTCTCTCTCTCTTTCTTGTTCACTTTGGTCAATCTGTTGTTGATGCTTTGACGTCGAGTGTCTGAATGCTGCTGCTGCCCGCTTGATATCCTGTTTATATGCGCAGGATGGGAACAGCCGGAGCAGCCCCTCCCTCGATCAGGTACGCGCATTGGGTCTAGTAAACAGACGGATTAGCGAATCTTTATTACCTAACTGATCGTTGTTTGGGCCGAGTGCTTTGCATATTTTATGACCTGCGGCGGTTAATTGCCGATCCACATGTTGTTGCCTTACCTCTACCTGTTCTACCTGCCCGGCCGCAGCAGCTCACCAAAGATCAGATGTGTTGTCGCGGCTACCGGAACTGGAAAACACCCGATCGCAAACAAACCGACTGCATAGGAATCCAATTTTTATTGCCCTACTTGACGCCATGCCTTGCGTGTGGTCCTGCGCGTACTTCACGGTATTTTCTAGCATTTTTTGTCACACTTCTTAGAAATTCCTGCAGGTCTACGAAAGAATTGGCCAAACAAAAGAATCTGGAATGTTTTTTTTTTTTTTTTTTTTGGTTGACCAAAGCAAATACTTTACTCTATATCTATATCTTTACAAATAAATCTTGTGGGAATATTAAACATCCATCTGAAATATATTATTATTTTATTAACAAGTAAGGCTATTTAGTATATAAATTACTATAATAAACTCTTTAATCGTATTGCATTAACACTGCTTGGCATAAATAATCACTGATCAAGTGTTAATTTATACATATTTTATACAAATGTATATACAAGTTACGTTTAAATAGTATGATTCACTCGTAGGGCACGTTTTTTACCATGTGCCCCCTGCCCTTAACCAGCTCTGGAAATATTCCATTCTGTAGTAGTAAATCCAGTCAACCAATCATTGAGCTCAATGTGCTTTATTGATACAATAGAATCACCTATGATATAGACTAACATTTACATTTTCATTAACCCTAAAAGGCAACAAGTAGATACAGTGTTTTCAGTAAGTTCTGTTAAAGCCCCGCCCTATTACAGGTGAAATAAATCGAGGAAAAGTGAAACTGCTCTGTGGTTGGTATCAGTCTGCTTTGGTACTTCTAGATCCAATGAAAGATACACCATTGTAATATAACAAATAAATATAATATAATGCTCATGTTCATAATGATGACAATTATAATTATGTTGATATACTTAGGTTATCTGCCAGACAATTTATCACAATCAACTCTTTCTTGTTTCTGTTAAGGATGTTAAATTACTATAATTATTCGCCAAACAAAGTCACGATTGAGTTTTACATACATATATATATATGTAAATACTATTGTATATACTACTTACATTAGTGTCAATTTATTTTTCACTTAGTAGTTCTCACTCTCATATAATATGTAGCAAAGCTACAATTTGCTATTATTTAAATATTTGCAATAGTTCATCAGCTTATTAATTTATAGTACTTATCAAAGAAGATGTTTAATATTAATTGATTATTAATGAAAGAATGAAGACTCTGGTATATATAAGATTATAGTAAGGAACAGCTATTATTCAAGGTTTAGTTTGCCATTGATCCTGGTTATATCCTGATAACTGCTAATGACAGATGACTACAATGAGATATGTATACATATTTATGTATGTATGTATGTATATGAATAGCCGATGAGCTGAAGCAAATATAAGGGTTCCTAATTAAATATAACGAATATGCCATTTATCTCAGTATGGATTGATTTTGAGTCTATTTAAAAAAGTCTGAAACTGCCATATCAATATCATGAATAGATTGATAGATCAATGATAAACCTGGAGCATGCCAAAAGCTTTGTTTTCAAATAATTTGACTAACAAAGTTAGATCCATTTTCTTCAACTACTTTACATACAAATATAATAAATTATCAAAAGTCGTCAAATATAAATTCTTTGCAAATGTCATTTATTCATGGTCAACAATAATAAATAAATAAAACTTTAAAAGTTATCACAAAGTCAATAATAACTTAGAGCTATACATAAATAAACTAGCTACAATAAATCTTCCGTAAATAGGAAGTTTGTCCTTCTAGCGCTTCGTGGCCGTTGCCTGCTGTTGGGGCCAGGCTTGGTGCATGTGTTGTCCGTGCTGCAGGCTCTGCTGGCTGCTGTCGGGCAGGGCAGTTCGAGTCGCGGCCATCGTCTGCTGCAGAAAGCGGACGTAGTAGAGACTCAAGCGTACTTGCTGCTCCAAGTTGGCCTCGTGCTGCTGGCGGTATTGCTCGTACTGCTGCTCCATGGCCAGTTGCTTGGCTTGTCGGGCCCGGCGGCTCAGCAGGCAGGCCAAGGTGTTGCGGTCGCGCCGCTGCTGCGCCTTGGGGCTGCGCAGGCGCGGCGTGTGGGAGCGCACCATGTTGGCATGGTAGGTGGTGGCCACTGTATTGGGCGATGGTCGCCGCGGTGGTTGCTCCACTGCTGTTGCTGAAGTAATTGTCGCTCGGGGCTCGTCCAGCCAGGGGCGAAAGAAACGACGCTTGGCGGGCAGCTCCATAATGAAAACCACATCATCGTCTGTCTCCTCGTCCTGGCTGCGCTTGCGCTTCAATGCGGAGAACTTTTTGTGTGCATAGTCGGGGGTGGTTATCGGAGCGGAGTTATCCATGCTGACAGATGGCAGTTGCAATTGTTGTTGCTGTTGCTGGTGTTGATGTTGTTCTTGTTTGCCGTCTTGATGTCGACTGTGCTGCCATTGTGCTGGGCGTAATCTTTTATGCAACATTAGGTAATGGATATCAAAGCGCTTGGCAGGCCGGCGGACAGTTTCCCACCAATCCCAGTGTCAGGTATTTCCCAATCAACTTCATTCATCCCAACGTGTGCCTGCGCTTCGAGCTAATCACCTTCCATGTAACCCTCGCATTCTTGGGCACTCACCTACCTGTGAAACCCACTATCTGCTTGTTGTCGTCACAAGGCCAGGTAAGTAGTCCGTTGGCCTGGCTAATCCGCCGGCTGATGCTGGCATTGCATTGCTTGCGTTAGTTAAGGGCGTCATAAACCAGTTGTCCTTTTTTCGACTATTTGTATCGCCAGCGATTTTCACTGGAAATACCTGTTGAGTGAGCAGAGACAGAGCCAGAGCCAGAGCCAGGCAGTATAATCCTGGCGCTCATATGGCCACGATGTCTGTAAGCGCATTGTTCGGCTTTCTTTGTGGCACCTGAAAAGTTTTATTGTTGCCGGCGATCCGTATTGCATTTATGACTTCAGCTTGTCCAGCTGAAAATGTTATTCTTCCCAAAGGTGTTGGGCATCATTACTGAATACCCGAAGAACCCATATATATTCATATATACATATACATATATCGTTTTGGTGTTCGTTTCTCTTGCTAGAAGTGTGTGCGTTTAGAATTATGTCGGATTTTTCATTGAATGGCTCGTTGTTAGAGTCTTGTCCATTGATTTATGTAGTCACTGCCGTGCGACAGCTAAGCGGATTTATCTTTAGGTGGGCTTGAGCTCTGCCCTCAACAAATGCTGAGCATAAGAGCCGGTACCTCAATTGTAGAGCCTCAAGCTGAAAGATTGCCATATTGTTTGATTACAATGATCTGATTCCACCTTCTACAATTAACCGGAATGAATTGCTTTAGCAAATGTAGTGCAATCCCCTATATCTCATCGATTATGTAACTGTTCTGTTTCGTTCCTGATGGAATGCACTCGCACAAACCTACCAGGAAATGCTATCACCAAGGCAGACTTCTAAGAAAGGTGAGCCGAAAGAAAACAGTAACTGGAAAATGTTGTGAATGAATCGCGTGTTATATGATTGATGCACTCTGTGACCTTTCTCACAGATCTTCTTCTATGGGCTTTGATTTTGTAGTTTTTGTTTCCCTTATAGTCGATGCATAATACAATCCGTAAGGATCCCACGATTACATTTAACTTATGTCTATAGATTGTAAAATACGATATATTTTGATCTAAATTTTACTCTATTGAGATTTATATAAATTAAATTTACATGTTTTGCTAGTTAATACATGCACTTTGGGATATCGATTCGAGAGTTTCCTTGCTTTCCAGAACTTTGTAGAGCGTTTGATTCGAGCTGGTCCTTTTGTTAATAAATTTGATATTAATATATGTATATCCATATTTGGACTGACAAGTATCACGACATTCAGTTCACTTTTCAAATAATCTTCAATTAATGAATCAATGACAATTATCTAATGATATATACCTATGTATATATGTTTCGATATTCTAATGCCTGAGTCTGATATAAAATAATAGTTACTCATTATATGATATATAATAGAATTTCTAAATAGAATTTTTGTTCAATTTATTATATGGCTGTTTAAACTTTGATTTTTAGAAACCAAATGCCAAACCATTTGTTTTTACTTTAATTTGAATTATTTGACTTTTCTATAAACAAAATGTACTACAATTTAACATAAATATATTATATTATTTTTCTAGTGCCATTAACAGTTTATATAGTAATCAAATTATAATATATAGTAATCTAATATCTAAAAATCAATTCGGTGGATAATTTTTGTGTGTTTGGCTTATCAAAAAAGTGAAAAAAAAAAAACTTCTTAATTTGATCTAATAATAAGATCTTTAAATGCTTAAAAATACGTTTTCTAAGCACATATGTTCCGAATATTTCGTGTTCCAGCCTTGTAGCTACATAATTTAAATGGCATCCTTAGCGCATTAAAAATCGATGCAACATTTCGGGAAAATCCCAATAAATTTCCATTCAATTGGCCATTGTCAGTAAGCCGTCGAGCTGCAGCATCTTGGAATACCGTCGAACTTAATGAGCCAGATTAGCGGTAAGCGAGATAAGAATCAAGAAAGCGCTGAGCCAGAGCCGACTCTGGCTATAGCAACGGGATCTGCTACCTCATCAAAGAGCATACCGTGGCCGTGGCGCAGGCGCTGCCTGAATGTGCGTCTTCTGCTGAAATTTTCCTGAAGAAAATACCAGGAAAATTGAAATAAGTGCAGGCAGGCAGGCGGACAGCCAGCAGAGAGCATAGAAGGTGCTCGTATGTCTGTAGGTGCGAGCGAGCACCGCTGGGCAAATGAAAAATTAATTACAAAAAGGACTTGGCCGAGCAGGTAAGCTAGCCAGCCTGCAGTTCATATATATTCTGGAACAAATCCTTTTCTTTTTATGACAATGCAGACCTTTTGTCAACGAAGTTTTTCCCATAAACAAGACGCAGCTCACCTTAATGATAATTTTGCTGAGCGAGCAGGTAGGCAGGTAGCAGCCCAGTCGACTATAAAAGCGGCTCTTGCGCAGCACAAGGAGCACAGTCAACAGACAACCACCAAAGTAACAACATCACATCTTAACATTCTAACACACACCTACACACAAAATACTCAGCTATACGATGGCACCCTCACAAATGGATTATCCACAACACGAAAGCGCGACGAGTGTCGCCGGATACACTCACAAAAAGTTCAGTACGGGCTGCTACAAGCACAAGAAATTCGGCAAACGCGACAACAGTAAAAGTGACTCGACCACGGCTGCACCATTATTCCGTCCGTATGCACTGAGCGATAATACGCCACGAAAGCGTCGTCAGGAGTCCGAGAAGCGACAGAGTCAACAGCAGCCCCAGTACCAACTGCCCCCAACGCCACCAACAACGCCACCGCAACATCAACATCAACAGCAGATGCCGCATCTGACATATCCACAGCCAAATCAGTTCTACACGCCAACAGCCACGCCTACGCCAAGCATCAATCATCAGGCATTCGCCTACATGCTGCAAAAGCAACGCACCGTGCTCCAGATGCGCCAATTGCTCAGCATCAACCCGGATGCAAATACCTGGCCAGCACATTTGCGCAATGCCCTCTACTCCATGCTGCAGCAATGAAGGGAATAAATAGGAGCCGCAATCGGTGGCATCACAGAGATGATGGCCACCAACTTGGTGATTTGCCTAGCAACCAGTGATATAGAAATTTAAGTGCCTCACAAATTGTATATGATATGAAAACAGGAATGAAACTGATCTAGACGTAGTAATAATTGTACATAAACTATTTAATTAAACTAACAACTTAAAGAAAACCAAATAAAATATTTTAGTTTAATGTATATAAAGAAATTATCCGCTTTTCAATTGGATGTCAGATGTCAAACATTTAGATTTAGGTTTAATGCATTGCATTTTAAAAGTTGTAAATTATTCAAGAATTTAAAGGGCTAAGTTGACTTTCCGTAATTAAAGAGTTTGTTCCAATATTCAACTCTCGTATTTGCATATTATTGTCATTGCTTCATTTGGTAAGAGGAAGACAACGAACTATGATATACTATGACAATCCATATTCTCTGTCATTTCTTACACATAAAATAAGTCTGGGTCATCTCTTATGCTGACTACAAACAAATGAAATACAAAAGATGGAAATATACCCAACTGAAGGTGAAACATGAATAACAGAAAGCAAACGTTAATATTTAATACATATGTGTTTTATAAAATTAACTAAGATTTCATCCATTTTTTACGAGTATTTGCCATCACTAAGAAAGTTTCACAAGTTTAATGTGCATTGTATTTAATGATAGACAGCATTTACTTTTAAACTGATTTAAATAGAACTCTTAATCAATTACTTTAGGGTTGACTTAAAATCTACAGAGATTTATTAAATCCCAGGCGATCAAAAACCGAGCTCGGTTGACCCCTTGGCCTATTGCCGGCATTCACGCTCGAAGTTCGCCGTGGTGCAAAATGCGGCTTTTGATCGCGCTGCTGATTTCGATGCGATGTTGGAGGCTGTGCAGCGGTGGCCGACGAGCCCAGACGCTTGTGCACCGGCAGCGTATCCTGTCGTGCGAGCAACTCATCGCTACGCATGCGTATTGCCTTTCCTTTCACAGGACTAAGGCGCGCGCCTGGTTTCTTTGGCGGAGACGCTTTGAGATTGTATGTTTTGCGTGTGGCATGTAGCTTGGATACTGTTGACAGAAAGCAATAATTAAAAACATAAATAAAAGTATTTACAGCAGTAAAACTCACCCATGCCCAATCGGGACTTTATGTTCCGCGCAAAGTTGCTATTGCCGCGCGCTTTGTATGGCGTATTTGGTGCGATTTCTCGCACTTCCGCAGTGGATGCGAATTTAACAATTTTCTCAACAGGTGCTGCCATAACAACGTCCTGTTCACTTTCGCTACCTTCGCTGTCTATATCACTGCCAGCCTCTCTTAAATCATCATCATCCATGCTGTCATCATCGCTATCATCACCACATTTTAATGGCACCTTGTGGACAAGCATCACCTTCTGCTGTGATCGTGCTAGTGGCGCTGCTGTAGTTTTAGCCTTCATTATTGAAGTGTTGCGCTTGATGATACTGCCTCCGGTGGTGCTTTTAGTGTTTTTCAAAATCGATTTTATCTCCTTGGCCACAACTGTATTTTGCTGTACTGAATCCAAGGATTGCTTGCCTCCGAGCCGTGCAAACACCGAGTTATTGCTAGAAGTGGCGGCTACTTTGCCGCTAGATGTATTGTGAACGCCGGTAATGTGCACACGCACGTTACTCTCCGCGCTGCTGGAGACAATGCCCTCCTGAGCATCATCGTCGCACTTGCTCTTGTGTAAGCGCGCAAAAACGTCGGTTTTCTTGGTGCTAGTAACACGATCCGAGTATACTGCAATATATTGAAAATTGAATATAGTAGCCTTTGCGATTATCAACATGACCATAACATACACTGCTCCCGCTTAGCCAGAATTTGCTTGCTCCGCTCTGTTGTGCCCGATGGCAAAGTAACTTTATATTTGCCTTCATGCTCCGGCAGCACGCGTCGCGCTGGCTTTGTTGGGGGTGAGCCTTTATTGGCACTGGCATTGACAACTGTGGATGCTGATATCGGTTTGCTGCTAGGCGATGCAGTAGTTGCACTAACTAGATTTTTGGTCTTAGCCTTGGATTTGGGCGAAGTCGCATCTGTTATGAGTACTTTGTCGAGTACATGTTGCTCGCTAACTTGTTTGGCATGACGCAATATCGCAATTATGTCGCCCATAGGCGTGATGCCCATCTCACGTAAGTATTCCTTATTTAAATCGAGCAACATGTCATCCTGTATGCGGTTTTCGACAAATATGTGAGCATAGCTGGCCGCTGCTGGGGACGGAATCCCCCCGGCATTAAAAAACTTCACCCATCGTGCTGCAATAGAGTTGTATTGGTATTTTTCATATACATTTGAATCCCGTACGCACCTGCACTAGACTTGGACATGGCTTTTAAAGAGAGAAGCACTAATTCAATACTTATTCTATAACTCTATTTTTATTTTTCATACAGTGCTGTAGAGTTGTATTAAATTGTTTGGAATCAGTTCACCTGAACGGTTCCAGTGAACAGACCAACAAACGAAATTTGATATTGTTCATTTTGCTTTAACCAAGTTAAACAAACTTATTTTAATTTTTTAAGGTTCTTATGACACAAATCTCATGGATGTTGAAACAAATAACAGATTCTTTAAATAAAGTAATTTATAAATTCATTTCAATATATATGGTTACACTCCGTTTGCATCCCTGCAAATATATCGATAACATAATATGCAAGCTTCGATAGACATCTTATTAAACAGCTGACTTCAAAGAACGATAGAAGAAAAAAGCAGTGTAAACAACGTTGTTGCACGTGCGGCATCTAATTAATACCAATTGCAACATGTCAACTCGAATGGAACTACTTAGTGAGCAAGGATTGCGTCTGGATGGCCGCCGGCCGCACGAGCTGCGACACATCAAGTGCAAACTAGGTGTATTCGAGCAGCCTGATGGCAGTGCCTACATGGAACAAGGAAATACAAAAGTTTTGGCAGCCGTGTACGGACCACATCAAGCCAAGGGCAAAAAAACAGAAGGCAACGATCTGGTTATAAATTGTCAATACAGTCAGGCCACGTTCTCTACTTCGGAGCGTAAAAATCGGCCGCGTGGTGATCGGAAATCACAGGAGTTTAAAATGTACTTGCAGCAGGCGCTGAGTGCAGCCATCAAATCCGAGTTGTATCCACGCTCTCAGATTGACATTTACGTGGAAGTTCTGCAAGCGGACGGTGCAAACTATGCTGTTTCTCTAAACGCCGCCACTCTGGCACTTATCGATGCGGGCATATGTCTAAACGAATTTGTTGTTGCCTGCACGGCATCCCTAAGCAATGCCAACATTCCGCTCACTGACATCTCACACATCGAGGAGGTCTCCGGTGGTCCCAAGCTGACCATAGCAGCATTACCCACTGCCGAGAAGATTGCATTTATGGAGATGAGCGAACGCTTTCACATTGACCAGCTGGAGACGGTCATAGAGACCGCGATGGCCGGTTGTCGCGAGATACGAGACATACTGGAGTCGGCAGTAAAGGAGCATCTCATACACATTGGCAGCGCAGCTGACTGGGCGCGCGTCTGTTAAAATAAAGTTATTTTTATTAAGCTTTTCCTATTTTAACAATTAACAATTATTTAGTTTTTATCTGCTGCTTCCTGTGGCGGCGGCTGCCACGTTTCTAGTAGCTCCATTAGAGCCTGTTTGCGGTGTTCCAACTGGAGGCGCTCAATTAAGCCGCTCAGCTGCTGACCGCCCTCCAGGAAGCCAGGAAGATTGTGCAAAGTGCCACCCTGCTGTACTCGATGATCTGTTACACGATCTTGCACGAAATTGTATGTGCGAATCTTTTCGTTGCGGTTCAGATTCCCTTGCTGTGCCTTACGGGTAGCCTTTTTAGTCGCCTCAGCACTCTGCAGCTGCTGGTGTATAAGCTTCGCCTGCAGTCGCTTAAGCGCCACCTCGCGATTTTTCAGCTGAGACCGCTCCGATTGTGATTCAACAGCCAATCCCGAGGGTAAATGTACAATTCGAACGGCAGAATCTGTGGTGTTTACGTGTTGTCCGCCAGCGCCACTGGCACGTTTCGTCTCAATCTTCAAATCCCGCTCTGCTATTTGCACTTGCACATCAGCCGGCCTTGGAATCACAGTTATGGATGCGGTGCTGGTGTGGATTCGTCCAGATTTCTCAGTGGCCGGCACACGTTGCACTCTATGTACCCCCGCCTCGAAGCGCAGCCAATTGTACGCCTCCGGATCGTTAACCTGCAGATTAGCATGACGCAGTCCACCTATGTCGGTGGTCTCACGGTCAAACTCTTCATACTCCCAGCCCATGTGGTCGAAGTAGCTGGTGTACATGTCATATAGTTCCTGGGCAAACAGCATGGCCTCCTGCCCACCGGCACCAGCGTTCACCTCAAATATCACCGCCGGATAATCCTCGTCATCGGACAGCGCCAGTAGCTCTTGCAGCATGTCCTCCTCCTGTTTACGCAACAGACTTGTGTATACATTGTTTTCCTCTTCCATAAGCGCTCGCATATCCTCGTCCTTCTCAGCTAACAAGTCCTTCTCTGATGTTATATTGCGCTGCAAGGCTCTGTGCTTCTCCAGACTATTGACAACGGGATCCAAACGGGTCAATCGTGCATATAGTCTGTCGTTGCCGGCTGCATTGACGCGCAGCGCATAATATTCTTGACGCAGTGATTCCAAATATGATTGCAGCTTCTCGTTCTGAAAACTCAATGGATCTGTACTAGCCCATCGACGCACTAGACTCTCACACCGCACTCTCAACAATTTACGAAACATTTTTATTTTAAGGAAATAGCAATAGCAATTCTATTTTTGGTTGAATAACTGTTTAACCCACCATCTGCTCGATGAAATATTTCATAGCGATGAGAGCGTGTAAGAGAGCATATAACCGTTTGAAATGTTTACAAACAGATGTTTGGCTATGGCGAGTTTAATAAATATTAAAATTATCTCTGAATTGTATTTTCCAGCTTTTATTTAAATAAATATTCTTAAACTATTATATATATATATAAGCAATCTAATGTGGCCATCGGACTGTCCCACACTATTAATGTTTCATCTCTGGTCAGTGGTTTCATCAAGCATTAAAATTTATGGGTGCCCACAGCTGTGTATGCTGTTGCCAGTGTTGAATAAAAGTTTATTTATTTCTCATTCTGATGGGCTTATTCAGTCGCGAAACAATTATTTAGTTCTTATTATATTTAGCCATATCAGTGCAATAGAAAGTACTTGTAAAGTACTTGAAAAAGCCCACACTACAATAAATAAAAATAATAACAATCTGTGCAACAAATATGTGCAAGATCCATGTATAGCGATTTTCAGTTATGCATGCGTGTGTGTGTGAATGCGAGTGCGAGTCGAGTGCCTGTGTGTGCGTGTGTGTGTGATGTGTTGTGTGCTTGATTAATGAAAACAGTTGTGTTCGTAGTGGTGTAAAGTGCAGCAATAGCAATTAAGTTTAATTAAATAATAAATTGGATGTGAATTAGCTGCCAGAGTGCATTTACATAGAGTCAGCACAAGTCGTAGCAAGAGTATAACGAGATGCCACCACTGAAGAGCTACTCCATGCACCATGAATTCAATGCAAATGCAAATTGTCACAACGGCAATGAAAACACCACCGATAACGATAACGATTACTTCAACCAGCCTGCTACTGCATCTGCTACGTCTGCAGCTAGCACCCAACGCACAAATCTACCCTCTTACTGCAACGCCCAATACCCATTTAAGGTGCTATCCAATCTAAACCAATTGCGGGAGCAGTCACGCTTCTGCGATGTCGAAATTGTTGCAGGCGAGTCAACGTTCAATGCACATCGCGCAGTGCTGAGCGCTGCCAGCGCCTACTTTGAGGCCATGTTCAGGCCGGAGTTAGGCCTCAATGAAGTCAAGCAGAAATCAGTGGTATTGCATACAATCGATGGCGACATACTACACATACTCTTGGACTTTATCTACACAGGGCGTTGTGAAATTACGCAGGTAAACACTCACCATCTCCTTGTCTGTCAACTGTGAATTCTATAATCACCTTTTTCTTCCTTCTCTCCAAGTCAAATGTGCAGGAATTGCTCGCCGCCGCGGATATGCTTCAACTGAACGAAGTTGTGGACGGCTGTTGCGAGTTTCTGTGTCGCGAACTGCATGCCACCAATGCTCTGGGTATATTGCGGTTTGCAGAAGCACACAATTGCGAGTCTCTAGCAAAGAGTGCAATGAACTTTGTGCAGGCCAATTTTCCAGCGGTAAATAAAAAATGCTTTACTATTTAAAACGAATTATATTTAAGTGAAAAAATATAACAGAAAAAGTCATACTCACCAATCCTGTTGAGCCATTTGAATCTTCAGTCATAAATCAAGTAGTAGCATTCCAAAATTTGAATTAAGCAGAATCCTAATTGCATAAATCATTTATTATTAATTGCCTGGTGACCTTCGCCACCAGGCTCTACTAAAAATTCTTATAGACTCATTAGAGTGTTCCTCTCCACGGAAATCTTTAGTAAAAGGCGAAAGATTTATTCGACAACTGAAGAGAAACCAGAGTAACTTATTTCCATCAAATGTCCTGTACTTAGTCTCAATGTTCACTTAAACCATTTGCGAATTCTATTTCAACAATTCATGCAAAGCACCCCTGAAGTAGGCAACATAAATAGGCGTTAACTCCGTTTAGGATATTTCACTGACTCCACCTCAATAATTCTCAACCAGTTCTAACCTTGCAATGGTGTAGTGCTGTGAGTTTAGCCATGTAGAGTTATCGCTTCTCGGCCTTATGGCTAAGATCAAAGTGTAGTATCTGTTCTTATCAGCTTAACATCTGATAGTTTCTCCATTGGAGAACAACAAATGTTAAACTGATTTTTGGAAATAGACGGAGTGTTAGGGGCTTGCTCCACCTCTGTCGCGGGTTGGCCCGGTATTGCAGTACCGCCGGGATTCGGCCCAACTAAGAAATAAATGTTAAGTTAAGTGAAATGTGATGTGGTTCATTCTTGGGCAATCTGAGTAAATATTAATTATGTTTACTTATAGTCGGAATTGGATTATATATTATCTAACACAAAAGTTACAAGTTATAGTTACACTTATAAATAAATTTATTTCTATGTTCGCTGCTTGCAGATAACGCTGGAAGACGAGTTTCTGGAGACCCCGCAAACTTTGTTATCGCAACTGCTTAACTCGGAGTTGCTACGTGTTGATTCTGAATCACAAGTGTTCCAGGCGGCGCTTCGTTGGATTAAGCACGATGTGACGCAACGGCGCTGCTATGTCTTCGACATATTGTCGCATGTCCGCATGGCCTTGGTGCCCGTGAAGGTAATCGATAAGGCTTTAAAGGATGATTGTCGCGACATGTCTGTGAAAATCGCGCTACGCTCCATTTGCCGAGATATTGCCTCAAAGCGCGGCCAACTGGTGCCACTGCGCGTTTGTCCACGGCAGCTGGCGAAGAAAAATATCTACATTATTGGAGGATCACATCGCGATACGCCACGCACCTGGAACTCGGCGGATTGCACTTTCGAAACGGTGGCCAAATTCGATATTTTCCGCCGTGAATGGACTGAGACGGCGCCTATGGAAGTGGGCCGCATTCTGCCGGGCGTGTCGGCATTGAATGGCAAGATTTATGTGGTGGGTGGTGAACGTGGATCGCAAATTCTGGCCAACGGCGAGGTGTATGATCCACAGAACGATATCTGGCAACCAATAGCACCAATGATAGTGCCCCGCTGTGAGTTCGGATTGTGCACCATGGGCGGCAATTTGTTCGCAGTAGGTGGTTGGATTGGTGACGACATTGGCGGTACAATGGAGTGCTACGATCCGGAGAAAGACCTCTGGAAACTGATTGGCAGCATGCCGCAGCCCCGATTCAGCATGGGTGTCGTTAGCTTCGAAGGTCTGATATATATAGTGGGCGGTTGCACTACGACCACCAGACATTTACCAGATTTAATAAGGTAATCAACAACACTATTTCCAATTAAAAATGATTATTAAAGGATTTTCGTTCCAGTTACAATCCCGTGACGAAGGAATGGACGCAGCTGGCACGCATGCAAACAGCACGCTGTCAAATGGGCGTCGCCGTGCTCGATCGCTACTTATATGTGGTGGGCGGGAGCAGCATCAGCCAGGACATACTTAGCTCCGTGGAGCGCTACAGCTTCGATGATGATAAGTGGTCGACGGTGTGCGCACTGAACGTTCCACGGGCTATACCCGCAGTGGCTGCCGCCGATGGCTTACTCTATGTAGCTGGCGGTGATCAGGTGAGTTAATACTCACTCTATATTGATTATTATATATTGATATATCTTCATTGCTTTTGAATAGCCCTGCGAAGTGAACTTTTATCGTGCTCAAGTAACAATCAGCGCTGTGGAATGCTATGACCCACTCTCAGATACTTGGAAGAATTGTCCTGACTTGCCGGTCAGCCGATCCGAAGCTGGCGCCGTAGTTGTGTAAGAAGCAGCATCACTAGCAAGTAGTTCGCGCTTGCCCAAAGTCCAACAGTCTTACGAATCTTATTTTAAGCACTTTTAATATGCCCAGCCAATCACAACAAACTCTATTTTCTCTTTGAAAGTTGAACGTAGTGCTCTCTAACCAAAGCTAAAAAGCTAATGAGCTTTGTTGCAGTATAATGTACATGAAACGTAGCTCAGCTATTTACACACCCAGTTTAGTATTATTTTTAGTAATTAGTCTGGAAAGCAACAGCAAAAACAGCACAGCCAGCTTCTGATCGTTCCGTAGTAAAATTCTCTTGAATAAATACGAAATAATAACAAAACCGAAATTCGAAATTCACATGGCAAAGATTGTTAATCGACGTATCGTAATTGCTGAAATATTGTTCAACTGAAGCCTATTTAAAGTTTACGTTATCAAATAATCATTAAAATATGTGAAATCGCCAGCATTGTTGGCGCGTTCTTGAAAAGTGCGTGCCCGAATAACTTTGTATCATTAAAATGTACCAAAAACGAAAAGTAAACATTCAAACAAACTGTATTATGATTAGGTGTATTTACGAATAATAAATAAACATACGACTAAATCAAAATTTGTTGTTTTACTAAAAATTTTCAATAATTTAATTAACCTACACCACTCGAAAAGCAATTTCTTGTAAAGACTGCGCCGGTACCTAAAAGAACAACTGCAATTACTCTGGTTTACACACGCATCGGTGATGCCAATTTTTATTTATTTTTTCTTTTTTTGGAAAAAAGGCTAAAAATGAAAGAAAAATGAAAAGACAGAAACAGGACAAACATAAACAAGTAAGAACGTTGCAGTCGGGCGATACCGATTGCAGAAGACTCATTCACAGCCCAAACGCTGTCAACCAGAGTATATAGTGCAATTTTCAAGTCTAGTGCGCAGCAAAAAACACGGCATTTTGCCATTAAAATTGGAAAATCATCGATAGCTATTGCATTCAAATTACATACATATATAATTTATACAATTTTGATTTTTATTATATATGTATTTATATCCATACATTGGATACCGGCTTCAAGCTAACAGCAGATCAGCGCGATTTTCCTATGCTTGTGCACACACTCATCGTCTATTCTATGCGTACAGACAGAAGCGCGCCTTTTCTCACATTCTTAGAATTTCGATTGATTTCTGGACTTTCTAGCCGTTACTGTAGTTTTGTCTGATGACGCTCTCTTATTAAGCTATTCTATTTTAGCAACTGATTCCTCGATGAAAGCAGTGGCGCGGGTGCTAAGGGCGACACAAGTAATGTTAGAGTAGGGGAGGTTCGAACCTCTACTATGTTATTATTATTTTTTTTTTTTTTCATACATATTTCGTTTTTTATAAAATAGATATTTTATTGGGAAGGTGCGAGCTTGACTGAATGGCACTTAATACTTTTCATTTTCTTAGTCGAATAATTTTATAAGTTTAAATTTGTTCTTCTTAAATAGCCCTCAAATACATATACGCAAATACATACATATGTATATATAATTATATATGTTTGCCTGCGCGCATAGCATCAAGCATTCCAGCCTTATACACGCGCTCATTTGTATGTGTGTATGTATGTACACATAAATGCGTGCTCTAGCATATTCTAAGAATCCCGTTGCGATTGATTTGTCTTTGCATTGTTTTTGAATTTCCAGCCGCTACACTGGCTTTTCTTTGATATGTGGCGTCATAACAATAATGTGATTTCATTTTAACTACTATTGATCGAAACGACGCGGTGGTGCTGTAGGCTGAAGCGCCGGCGATCTTTATTTTAGCTATTTTGACAAACATGCTGTTTGGGTTGGGTGCGAGTTCAAATCCCGCTGAAAACATTTTTTTGTAAATTGCAAATTTTTGTTATTTTAGCTTTTTTATATTTTATTAATTTTATAAAAATGTTTCCTTCCGTGCTATCAATGCCTATAAGCCTACTTATGTGTACATATACATAAATAGATGACTGACGCATATAAATGTCGCAATTCGGGCACTGTAAATGCCGATTGCCACGCCCCTAGTGGCCGTCGGCTCCTCAATTTTAGCCAGTTCTTAGAACGAGCAACCAGTTACCTAAATGCAAAATTTGAATTCTTACGCTCAAAAAATGTGAAAATTACAGGGTATTTTTCGATATGCCACGCCCCTAAAGAGACTTAAAAACTTAACTTAACTATCCAAATTTGAAGCTTCTAGCTCTTGAACTGTAGCAGATATAAACTTTTGCGGTTTGCCACGCCCCCTATAGGCGGACATATATCTACCATAGCTCGTTGGACTTGGGTGATCAACCCGCGTATATATACAAAATTTCAGATCTCTAGCATCAATAGTGCCTAAAATATAGCAGAATTCGAAAAATCACTATATCTTCAGGTCCGATTTGCCACGCCCCTAGTGGGCGTAGATATATAATTTTTTCACCCATCTTCATAGAATTAAAACATTAGCTTACGTGCAAAATTTCAGCATTCTAAGTTTATAACTTTAGGAGATACAGTTTTGTCCGATTTGCCACGCCCCTAATGGGCGGAGATATATCCGCCATAGCTTGTGATCTTGGGTGGTCGGCGCGGACCTACATACCAAATTTCAGCTTTCTAGCTCTTCAACAAACATGATTTCTGGTATATCGGAAAATGCATTTTCCGATTTGCCACGCCCCTAGTAGGCGGATCGGGAAAATTTTAACACTTTATAAATCGGAGATATACACGAGTATGTGTTCCAAATTTCAAGTCTTTAGCTTCAATAGCGCCGAAATAGATTGCGTTCATACGGACAGACGGACGGACAGCAAGACGGACATTGCACAAAGCCAATATACTCATTTCACTTTCGTGAATGAGTCTAAAAACAAACAAACATAAACAAGAGAAAGCTCTAGTCGAGACTGCTCGACTACGAGATCCCCTGAGCTCTTCGAGCAACTCTTATATTTCAATAATTATTCGCACTTGCACACAGTGTTGCCAGATTAGCTATTTAATAGCATTTTTAGCTATTTTTGAACCCTAAATGCTATGAAAATTTTGAAAATGCTATTAGCTATAAATTTAGCTATTTTACAAACGAATATTTTGAATTTGATTTTATTATTTAAAGCAAAAAAAAAAAACATTTTTCGATTAAGTCCCAAATTGTACGTAATGATATGCGCGATACTACCACCACGACTTTGTCGTACTTATACCATCACTAGTTGTGAATTTATACCATCGCTAATTCTTCTTGCGCAGCAATGGCAAATGCTGCCATGATTATACCGTGCCTTCCAAATATTTAAAAATGATTCCAGTTAATCAAAAATATAATTCTGATGATGATTTGGATGTGGACCAAATTGTAACATTATTAAATAACATTTAAAAATAAAATTTAAAGTAAATGCATAATGCATAAAGGTTTCAGCTATTTTGTAAGCTATTTTAAAATTTGTTTATCTATTTTCAGCTATTTTTTAGAGACGATTTTGCTATTTTTATGTCTCAAAACCTGGCAACACTGCTTGCACACACACACGCACACGCGCAGCCCTACGAACGCACGCACAAACACGCATTAGCTGCAGTGATGGCTTACTATGGAATTTAATTCTTTAATAACTTTATAATTTATATTGTATTAAACTTAATTATATTATATTATAATTTACAAATGATGCCATTTATTTTTGTGGACACAAAAAAAAAACAGAAATCAGGAAAACAACTCTATTGACTATTCCGCAGATGAGGACGTTTGTCATTCTTTTCGGACGAAACAGGACAACAAAAGGTTAACTTCGCATCCCTGAGATGCCGCTATAATTTCACTTGGTCGTTAACAAACCCTACTACTGTTAACAACTGTTATATTTATTTCTTAGTTGGGCCGAATCCCGGCGGTACTGCAATACCGGGCCAACCCGCGACAGAGGTGGAGCAAGCCCCTAGCACTCCGTCTATTTCCAAAAATCAGTTTAACATTTGTTGTTCTCCAATGGAGAAACTATCAGATGTTAAGCTGATAAGAACAGATACTACACTTTGATCTTAGCCATAAGGCCGAGAAGCGATAACTCTACATTGCTAAACTCACAGCACTACACCATTTCATGGTTTGAACCGGTTGAGAATTATTGAAACTCACAACTAAAATAAATTCAGTGCTGTTAAACGCATTCAATAATGATGTCGGAAATCAGCTGTTGACGAACAGTGCTGTTAATCTGTCAGCTGTTATTCAGTATTGAATCTTGCCCGCGTAAAATGTTTGCGTTTTGAATTTCAATCAACGTCAATTTTTATTTCAAGCCTAGATGTAAAATATTTAGGTTTTACAAATTTTGTTTTTATTTTTGTTGTTTCTAAATTATGTGGTAATAAAATTTCAAAGGGCCTAACAATGCAACCCGTCAGCTCGTCCAATAGAATTCCCATTGGCTTCGACGCTGACGATTTTCCCGAATCCAGCAGCAGCAAGCGAAGGCAACGCCGGAAAGAAAAGCACATCAAACGTTTGGAACACACCAAGCATTTGTTATTCACCAAACATTTCTCCAACTATCGCCTGCCGGTGGCGGTTGCGTCGACAGATTTTAAGATTGTGCAGTTAAGTCGGTATGAGTCCATTATAGATCGAGACCGCCATCCCCCACTTTATGTAATTCCGGATCAGAAATCAGAATGGGCGCGCCTGAAAATGATTTCGTGTCCATGCCACGGGTGCGAATGTACATTAGATCCGAATGGTTGGCTCTCTCATTATATAAATGTGCATATGCGCCGACTAGGTGTCCCCTTCGTGGACGTGCCATTTCCTGTTGAAAAGCAAACCTTGCGTGCCTCTTGCAACCTAAGTTATCTCGACTATGATGTAAACACTCTGCTGAGTGTCTATGGCTATCAGCGTTTTGGTCTGAACCCCCTCAAATGTCCGCGCAATACATTGCTGCCAAAGGAATATCGCAAGTACTCCCAGCACGGCGTCCTACTGCTCTTTGCTTGCCGTACGCGACATGCATTACTTTGGCACCGTAAGCAAATCGATGATGTTGTTGCCATTTGGGTAGCGACCCCGATGCAGGGCGTGACCGTATCGTTACGCTGTGTAGTACAGCCCGCCAAATCGACACGGTACTATTCCAAGCGACTGCAATCGCGTCAATTGCCGGCATCTGGTATAAAGCCAACGCCATGCCGTGATTTAATCAAAACGGACTTCAACGTAGTTGTCATTAGCTTACAGGATTTGCGGGAGCTAATGGCAAAAAGTGAGGGTGAGCAGATCCTCAAAGTGGAACTGCATATTATGGGCGAGCAGAGAATTTGACAGATTCAGTTAGAGCTTAACTTATTCCATTTATACATTAATCAATAAAATGACCTCTAGGCTATAAATAGTTTTTATTGTTTTTGGCAATAGTTTAATGACATATTGTTTAACAAACTAAACACATGCAAACATAATGGTACACAGACATAGATTTGAACTAAGGAATTCATACAGCAAACACAATTGTAGAGATTACGCTCGATCGAAGCTGCAAGCTGGCTCCAAAAGCTAGCCGCTAGCATCTCCAATTATTGATTAGATTGTTGGTGAATATAAACAATAATTCACTAACATTGGTTTGTTATAGATTTTACTTAAATATATTTCGTACAATTTTGTTGAGTTCGCACTCGTTACACTTAAGAAATAGTAAAAGAATTTACAAATTTTGAGCCTACATACGTACAATTTAGATTTGATAAGCTACTATATATGGTGTTATATATGTATACATCAAGTTTGTATACAGCTGTGTATGTGTGAATGTGAGCGGTGAATGTGTGTGCTGTGGGGCATGCAACATTCGGGGCCCGCTGCTGCGTTTGCTTTCGCAAATGCCCAACACAAAAACAAAACGAAATGCAAAAGAATTGACAACGATAAAACGAAACATACTTAACGAGAAAGATGGTAGCTAAAAAGAACATTGTCTATTGTATTAAAATCGAGTCTAACCCGCCTTTTGCGTTTGCTTTTGTCGCTGCAGCGCCTCGAACGCTTCGATTTCCTTCTTTTCTTTGGCTTGATTCCGGCGCTCGTACTCCAGCCGATGCAATATTATGCGCTCCACAATGCGCTCCGTGGTCATATCGTTGCCAGAGTCGATCAGCTCAAAGATGGCTCGAGTCTTGGGCACAGCGTATGGATCAACTTTCCCATCCTCCAGACTGATCGGTGTGCGTCCATGGCAAACAACGTCTATCTTGAAGTGATCCAGAAGCTCCTCAGTGACACAGTAGGGTGCACCAATGACCACCTCGTTGACAAACTGCGAATGCAGAGAAAGCAGATATTAGTACAGACACGAGACATGAGCTTGTCCTCTTTGCACTATTTACTTTGCAGGCCAAAACGCTAAGCACGCGCTCATGCAGATTCATAATGGGATAGTTGCTGCCCTTATAAGAATTGACAACGGGATCTGTATGGAGGCCGACAATCAAATAGTCGCCCAATTTTCTAGCCTTTTCCAGAAAATCCAAATGACCCACGTGAAAGAGATCAAATGCGCCAGCCACATAAACCTGAGTACGAAACAACAGTTAACGCAATGCAACAAATAAATATTAATTGTGTTTATATTTACAATCTTATCGCCGGGATTTGGTGATTTGCCATCGCTAAACTGGATTATCTTCTGTGTTGTAGGCAAAAACTGGCTGCAACCGGTCCAGGGACTCTTGGCTGCCGAATCCTGACCCATGTTCGATGAACCTAAACGGGATTGCAGTTGTTGAATTTTTAAAAGTTTTGCTGTTTTATTGATTATCAAATTTGGAAATGTTCGAATTTTTGGTTTTTGTTTTTTGATTGGAGAGATATGGGCATTACAGTACATAGCGCAAATTACAGTTAGATTTTGATTGATTTGATATTTCATTTCGATTTCATTTGATTGCAGGTTTCATATATAAATATATTTTTCAAGGACATTCATTTTGTTTCGAACGCGGGGCAGCACAGCACGCACGGGATTTTGAGATTTTAGTTCATAGGTTTTTTTATTTTTTAGAGTTTTGGTTAGTGGTAAACAGTGCGCACATAGAAATAAAAAGAAGAGAAATAGTAAAGATATAGAGAGCAAAATAAAGCAAATGTTTTTATTTTTTTTATTTTGTTACAGGTTGAAAAGATCGCTACGGACTATGTAGACAGATTCTAACGGGGAAATTATTCAACCAACTAAAAGCAAAGCGTGCGTACCCCATTAAGGTTTATATTAAATATAAAAGTATGTGTCTTAACATTAAGAAGTTATAGCTTTGCTTCTCTCCTCATATTTGGATCTTGGATTTTGAATGTGTTTTTGTTGTCTCGTGTGTGTGTGTGTTAATTTGAGCATGCAGCGAAATAAAAGTATCGTTAAGTGGAAAGTACCAGAAAATAGACATAAAAGAAAAGAGAGTGTCCAAAGCAACATTAATTATTAGAGTTGGTTAGTTAACCGTATGTGTGTATATGAGAGTAACAGCTGGCTGATGAGGTAGATGCACATAAAAGAACGCAACTTATAGCTTATTAATTAATCAAAATGACACGCATATACTGCTACCTTCTTTCTCGATATCATATTCGGCGGAGCCTTGACGGAAGTGGTTGCGTGTTAGCAACAACATGCGACCCACCAGGTCTGTGGTCGAAACGCCAGCGGTGCGCTTCACTTCCCTGTGACGAGCAGAGAGGGAGAGCGTGAAAGAGTGTAAGATTAGCTATAGATTACACCTTCGATATGTGTGAGTGACTCACTTATAACGGTTGGCCGACTTGACCAGATGATATGTGTCGACACCCTCGGCAGTCATCGTGATGTCATCTATGATGAAGTCAACAGCAATTAGTAAATGTAGAGATACATTACTGATAGGCCACTTACCGCCATGCACACAGAAATCACAGTCATTTTGATCGAGGACCTCGAGAGTGGTCACGTAGGGCGCACCGAGAACCACCTCGTCGACCCACTTAATGCCCTTCACCATTTTGACGCGCTCCTCCTCGGTGAAAACGGGCGGTCCCTTGTGTTTGGTGATCTCCTCATCGGTGTGAATGCCGACAATTACTTTATCGCCAAGTGCCTTGGCTTGTCGAAGTGAATTGGCATGCCCAAAGTGGACCATATCATAGCTGTCAATTTTAAAAAACAAGCATTCATTAATTTGAATTCACGTTTTAGCTGTTCTAGTAGTTGTATCTTGTTTCCGCCCCCAGATAAAACACATTGCATTCCCTTATCAATTTAGCCGGAATAGAAAGAAAAACAAAACATTTAGAAAACTCTAATTGTGTAGACCTTATCTATTATAGAAGGAACGTAGCACGTGGCGGTCAGCTAATTAAGTTTCAAATTGGGAAAAGATGATAGAATAAATTAAAGGTCTTGAGCCTTATAGCTAGAAAATTCCATTTAAATATAGCTCAGGGTCACTTAGCTTCATTTTCCAATTGGTTTCAGATACGGTAAAAGTCTATTAGATTTTTCTATTAGTCTAGCATTATGGCTAAACTAATATAATTTACAATAGTATTCGTTTCCAATTGGCCTAACCAATTGACGACACAATAAAGTAAAAGTATTTTTACAGATCTGTCAATCAGCCCTAATGCTTATACTATTTAAAATATTATTATATTATTATTATAAATAAGATTATTATAAATTAGATTTAGATAGAATAAAGAGTAAAAGTCCATTGATAGATCTTTCAATTAGTTAGCTAGCTAATACCATTTACAATATTATTCAGAGTTGATTGAGCTCAAGTTTTCAGTGAACTGAAACGACCTTGTTGTAATCAAATATGATGCGATCCCTGACGACTGATTCATGTGTAACACTAGCTAAATGTAGCAGATAACCCTGAAGCCGAGTATAGCAACTGTATTAGCACACGGACGGCAAAGTTTTCCATTCAGAGCCGGGTTCATATACCTCCCCGGCGACAATTAATGAAAAAACTGTTGGCTAAGCGGAAAAACAATCACAGCCTGTGTGACTTTTGACATATACCTCCAAAAGTGTCAATGGAAACAAACAAAAAACAATAGAATGTTGCGCAGTTAAGCAAATGGCAGACAAACCACACTATTCAATTAACTATTGAGACTTTAATTACAAATATTCAAACGAACAATGAATATGCTTAGGGACAAGCACTTGCGTAAAGCAAACAAAGCCGGAGAGGCGCAAATCAAACTCAAAGTGCGAATAAGTCAATGTCTGGCCTCCAAAGACGGACGCCACTTGCTCGAATCGCTCCACTTTTTCTTTCTTTGTCGAGCGTCGCCAACGTCGCACTTTGGACACGATCATCAGTTGTGAATCGCCACAACAGCAAGAGATGCTACTGTGTGAGACATGATGATTTCCATTGATTTGTGCATTCATTTGTCATATATGTATATGCATATATATATTTATATATAATTGGAATGCGGGAATCCAAGCGCATTTCTAGCCAGCACATGACAAGTTCTTGCCGAATGTTTTGTACGTGCCAATACGTTTTAATGCAACATTTGCCAATTTTAACTTTCGTGTAAATATTGCTGGTATTTTATTGCTATCCAAGAGTTAGCTAAGCTAGCGTATTACAAAGGAACACCCAATGGAGTAGAGTATACAGTGATTATTATTAAAAAATACTACATACTTTTAAACGGATGTTTAAAGCTTGCCAAAACCAAAACAATATAATCTATAGCAATATGTCTTAAATTATTTGCAGAAACTGTTGTAGATAACTGAATACATGATATATCAACGTGACGAGGCCAGCTAATTGCAAATAATTAATTATTGTTTATGCAAGAGACTCTACTCACGAAGCCGAAAAGAATGAATGTACCATAGGTGTTATATGTATATACATATATAACAAGTGATAAGTCACTCACTTAACTCACGACAGTAAGCATGCGAATCGAATTCCAGGCGATTGCCAGGTGAGTCAATCTAGATAGCAAGCCACGACGTCACCTATATCGAAAAGTCAGACTGAGCCACGTCTATTACTAGACGATGGGGAACACTGGCAAATGTAATGACATTATGTAAGCAGTGAGTATAGAACGTCAAAACATGACCAAGGCCCACAAAATACCTACATAGATTAGCTATAGCATTTTATAATTTCAACTAGTCACACGGCGGGGCGATCAAACAAACTGTGATGCTGAACGACGTCATTCAATTGATCCGATAACGTTCTGAAGACGGCCTTAACAACAAAATGGATTTTTGGTAGACAGAGCAGAGTGTGGTCCAATCATCATTCATAAAAACAACAATGTGAACCAACCAACGAAGAACCTTTGCTCCCGGAGATTTTGCGACACCCAAGAAATC